GCTTGATTTTTCCTCTGCTCGTTTTATTTTATTTTATTACGTTTTTTTTTGCCCCTATTCTATTTTCTGCTTCTGGTTCTTTTGCGCCTCTTCTCTTGAGCATTTGGTGGAGAAATTATGAGAAAACCCTAGATATGTACATGATATATATTTAGTGTGTGTTGTTTCTCAAAAGGAAAAGGAGAGTTATTGGCTACTTTTTTTGTCCATCAATATTATTTTTATATATATTAACTTAAACAATGTATCAGTGCTTATTTTTTTTAATTAGAAAAATCAGAGTTGTTGACAATTTTTTTGGTTTGTTTTTTTAAATTAAATTTGCAGATTATTTTTCACACAATATGTTTCAATTTAGAAAAACAAGGAGCATTTAAATTTTGTAATATAATTTTTTTTTAATATACGAATAGTGATGAAAACAGTTATATTTAATATGCAGATGGATTCCAGTGGATATTTTACAAATATGCTCAAAGAGAATGAAGAATTTGTGCAAGAACCTTTGTATGATAGTTATTCAATGGAAACGGATAGAACAAATAATTCTTCGAAACGCACAAAAAACTTTTCAAACGACGAGGACATCCTCCATGTCTCTGCATACCTCAACACATCGACCGATCCAATACATGGAAACCAACAAAAATCTGATATTTTTTGGGCGAAAGTGACCAAGTATTTTGAAACATATAGTGACGCATCTCAGCGTTCACAGTATTCTCTTACGAGCCGATGGGCTGTAATCACCAAAGATTGTTCAATTTTTTCTTCTTTTTATAAACAAATTCAAGAATTGCAAAAAAAATGGTACAACAGAGCAAGACAGAGTATAATTCAATCTTATACTAATTTTTAAACTTTTTGTCAAAATTATTAACTTGGTATTATGTTTTTAGATACTCCATGCCACACAAATGTTTCAAGAAACCACAAATAAACAATTTTGGATGGACCATTGTTGGAACGAGCTGAAAAATCACCCAAAGTGGAATATTGCTACAACAAGTTGACGTTCCAATAAGTCGTCAAAAAAGTTTGTCGGAGCAAGTCCACAGTCTTCGTCACCTGCAACTGAATATAGCGATGCCAACCTTAGATGTGATGATTTAGATTTTAACGAGTTCGAGAGACCAATTGGTACAAAGGTTGCAAAAGCAAAAAATGGAAAAGAGCATGTCCAAGAAACTCAAAGTTCTGTTGCCGCCTCGTTTTTTGAGGAATGTTCATAGGATTACGCTCGGGCCGAACATCAAAAGAAAGAGAGATTTGACTAACTATTCATATTCCAACAAGAATACCTGCAACTGGAGAGGGAAAAACGACCGGACTTGAAAAAAGACACGGACATAAAAATTATGATGACCGACACCTCTGGCGTGGATGAAATGAGTGCAGAATATTTCAAGAAATTGAAGATGGATATTATGTCATGATTGTCCTAGCATGCATATTATATTTGGAGTATTGTACTAAATGTATTAGCACATTTAGTATTAATTTACTTATGTCTCATTTTGGTTTAATGTATTAGAATATCAGTTTAGTTTTGTCTAATTTTATCTTAATATAGTATCATATCATCATGATGTATATTATTTATTTTAAAAAATATATTTTCTATATTTTTTAGCAAAAGGGTACTGAACATATGACATGGAGTAATAACTTAAAGCCACGTACTGCAAGCTAAACAAATAACCTTAAAATAAAGTACAGAACATAGATTAATTAGGTCTGCCAAAATATATAAACTGAAAATACATATTTATTCTCTTCCATGAATCTGCCACATGTGTTCAATAAGGTCTTCTTGGAGTTGTGTATGGTTTTCCCTATTTCGGATGCGCCTATGAACTTGAAGAAATTTCATTAACTCGGTTGTGGGTTCACGGGATATCGCAATTGTCGGAACTGTTTCAAGTCTATCACAATCTAAAACATAGTTGGTGCCTCTTTGATCCTCAACAATCATGTTATGTAGTATGACACACGCGTTCATTATACTTCGAAGGGTTTCTAAATCCCAAATTGTGTTGGTCCGCGAATGATTGCAAACCGTGATTGGAGAACCCCAAAAGCTCGTTCTAAGTCTTTCTTGCATACTCTTGAGCTTTTGCAAAAACTTGTTGCTTCAATCCTCTTGGAATAGGAATTGTCTTCAAAAATGTTGACCATTTTGGGTATATACCAAAATAATAACCCGTCGTATAATCATGTCCATTTATTGAGTAATTTGTGGGAGGAGACCGGTCAAGCACATTGATGTCATTGAGTGATCCCGGCAATCCAAAAAATGAATGCCATATCCACAAATCATGTGAAGCCACTGCTTCTAAAATAATCGTTGGTTTATGGATGTGCCCCGTGTAAATACCTTGCCACGCAATCGGACAATTTTTCCAATACCAATGCATGCAATCGATACTTCCTAACATTCCAGGAAACCACGTTCTGCAGTAAATGCCAGCAATCGCCTAACATCCTCGTTGTTTGGCGCTCTTCTGTATTGGTCCCCGGAAATCTCATCGATTGCTTCGACAAACCTCCGAAGGCTTTCTATGACAGTACTTTCACCAATGCGTACATAATCGTCCACGGAGTCGGCTGATGCTCCATAAGCTAGCATTCTCATTGCAGCTGTTATTTTTTGAGTGGATAACAAACCGAGAGTTCCCGCTGCATTCCTTCTTTGCTTAAAGTAGGTATCATAACCTTCTACATGATTCTGTATTCGGAGAAATAAATTTCGACTCATTCGAAACCTCCGACGAAATTTGGCCTCGGGAAACGTCGGATGAGGGGCAAAATCATCTTTCCAAAGTCGCTCATGGCCCTCCACTCTATCGCGATTTATAAGCAGAATGACCAGGAATTGATTCCACGATGATGTGATAGACGTTGTCGACGAGAATTTTCTTCTTCCTCGACTATCATAGCCGCAGCT